CTCCATGGGGAATCAATGGAAGAGGAGGCTATATGTTGGGAAAGCAAATGAAGAAGCATTTAACAGGGAAGGGAGTTCAACCACCAAATGCACAGAGCAGAAAAGATGAAGATAATGATGACGACGATAACTTGTAATCCAGCCTTGATGCAAGTAACATGTTTACTCGGTCTTGAATCCACTGTGTTAAAATGAAACATGCATTATGGATATTTTCAAGTTATCTTGGTAAACGGAATTCGTATTTAATGAGTAAATACAGTTACTATGCTTTGCAATTGGAAAAAAGAGGAAGATGGTGGTTTTTGAGGAGGTTTTAAAGACAGAGACTTCATGAACGAAGGTACCAGGTGTGAATCAGCCAAGGTTCTCTTTGCTTTTTACTCCCCTGAACCTTTGCTTGCCTGGCATCTTTTCACAGGATCTGTTTCCAAATGGTTTTCACCTTTCCTCCTATGGGGCTCCGGTCTGGACTGCTGTCTCCTCCTGTCAACTTGGATAAATCAGCTTCCATTTTTAATTTCTTCTCAATCCTACAGCTTCCCATCACCTAATCCAAGGTATTATACTTATTTGGTCATATGGCTGTAAGCTCTTTAAAGGAGGAGATTTTTATCTCTCTCATCATCTTTATCCTCTCTACCTAGCAGAGTGCCTGGCAGGCATTAGGTGCTCTATATCAATGTTTTTTGAGTTAATTATTGAACAAGGAGTAGTGTCTTTTGGATGGATTTTAGGTTAAAACATAAAGAGGAATAGGGCAGTGAGATTGGCCTTCTTTCTGTCCCTACACACCTGAGGTGGAGAGCATCTCTACTTCATGTGTGCAGTGCTGTATGCCAGGCACTGTTCTAAGTTCTTGACAAATACTCAAACACGCAAACATCTTCACATCAATTTTAGTGGATAACTATGGTTGCATTTCTCAACGGCCAGGAAGGGAGAGGAGTATACCCCCTTCTACCTGGGATAGGAGTTGGGGATTAAAACTCAATTTAATTAGGGGGAAAATACTCCCAAATGACACCTCATCTCTCAGGAGCAAATTATGAGTGAAGATCATGATAGTTAATAACAAAAATAAGGACTAAGGTGCACCTAATCCAAGTAATGCTATTTCAGTGGCTTCGTGTGTATTTCAAAGTTGGGCAATAAATAAGGAAGGCATAAAAAGAGTTGATACAAAATAGTGTGTTGGCAAAGAATACTGAAAATACGAACTGTTGGAACAAGAAACAGATCTGCCTTGGAAGATGTACAACCAGAATGCTCTTTAGAAGCAAGGGTAGTCAGACTGTCTCCCATACTTTGGACACATATCAGGAGGCACCAGTCTCTGGAGAAGTACATAATGTTTGGTAAAGCAAAATTTCTGAAAAAGAAGTGGCTGCAATGATGATGGGTTTTGAGGCTAGCACATGAATGGTGTTCTTTTTTGTTCTACACAGGGCTGCTATAGATTAGAAGCAACTCGATGACACTTAACAACAATGATAGAGTGCTTACTCTCTATAGGCAAGTACCAGGTGCAGCTCTGCAACTGCATCCCTGCCCATCCTCACCCTTCTGCCCCCAACCCTCACCTCCTTGTACCCCCATTATGTTTTTCCCAATAAAATAAAAATTTAAAAAATGAAAAGAAGTAGTATTTTTCACTCCATTCCCACAGCAGCCTTAAGAACTAGGCAGTATTTTACTCCCTTTATTTTAAAGGAGGAAACCAGGTTCAGAAAGGGGAAGGCACTTGCCCACCTGAAAGGGCAATCAGCATTCTGACTGAGGTTTGCTTGATTCCCAGTCTCAGCTTTTTTCTAGTCTGTTTACTGCCTACAGAAGTAGATTGAGGTTACTCAGCTGGGGTTTCAATACAAAACTAACCTGGTTCTTCATGCAACAGACCAATGGGAAACATTTTTAAAATAAAGAAAAGATCGGTTAGTCAAACAGCTTGACTGATAGGCGCAGTAAGAATAATTAAGTGACATTCACTTGATTGTAACTTACAGCAGCTTTATGCACAACAGGACAAATCACTGTCTTGTCCTGCACCAGCCTCACAACTATTGCTATGTTTGATCTAACTGCTACAGCCACGGAGTCAGTCTATCCCATCGAAGGTATGCCCCCTTTTCAGTGACCCGCCTTCTACTTTCAAGCATTGTATCTTATCAAGCATTATATCTTCTTTCTTATGGTTGCTTTCTTTCCCGAGAACATCCTAAAGTATGAGTTGACGTCTCACTACCTTCAGCTCTAAGGAGCATTTTGGGTTATACTTCCCCATGATAAGTTTGCTTATTCTTCCGGGAGTCCATAATATATTTAATATGTTTCATCAATACTATAATTCAAATGCATCAGTTGTTCCATCTTCTTTATTCACTGTCTAGTTTCTGCATCCATAGAGGTGACTGAAAATATCTTGGCTTGGGTCAGACATTCCTTGGGCCCCAAAGTGACATTTTTGTTTTTTAATACCTTAATAGCGGCCTTTTGTAGAAGATTTGCCAAATGGAATGTAATTTGACTGCTACATTACCAATCCCAACAGAGAAATCTGAGTTGGTTGTGATCAGAGACCCTCCATTAGGAAGACTGCCTCATCTTTCTCCCACGGAGTGACTGGTGGAGTCCAACTGCAGATTTTGTGGTTAGCTGCCCCAATATATTACACTCTCTGCTATTGAGTGCCTCACAATGAGTGTCAGAACTGACTTACAGCTTATCCTCCAAGAAGGTTTATAAGAGGCTGTGAATTGCACAGGAGGAGCCTGCCCATTCTACTCCTCTCAGAGCAGTTGGTACATTTGAACTGTGTGTCTTTGAGTTGTCAATCCAACACCTTAACCACTAGGCCACCAATGTACCCTATAATAACAATGTTGCTATTAAAATTTTACTGTCCAGTTGGAACCAGTTCATAGCAGATGCTGTATTAGGTTTTCATAGGCAGTAAAGTTTAGGGCTGTTGTACATAGGGTTGCTATGAGTTGCAGGCGACTCGACGGCGCATAACAACAACAACAACAAACCTCACAGAAGAAAAATGCTTATTTTTTGCCTGAAGAGCCCCTGATGGATTCGAACTATATGTCTTCAGGCTGGCAGTGCAAATCCTTACCACTAGAGCTCCCTACGATAACAATTGTTCTCATTTATTGAGCTTCACCTACATGGCAGGCATTAAGCTTGGCACTTAGAAGAATTCTGTGAAGTTACCTTTATAGTTTCTTTTATGGGCACTGAAACTGAAACTCAAGCTGAGAGACCTGCCCAAGGCTCAGGTGGCAGAACCAGAGTGGCTAACCTGGGAGGCTCTCAGTTCTGTGCTACACCTAAAAAAGAAAAAAAAAAAGGCTGTATCTGTAATCTCTATCTAATGCTTCCTCTCATGGGAGTCACTGCCACTGAACCAATTCCATTTTATTCAGAAAGTCGTGGAACGTGCATCAGCTTCTGCACATACAGGTGCATATGTCTAGTGTTATCTATTGACCTCCGTGCTCTGAGGCTACATTACGTATCATACCACTGTGTTTACCAAGATTCAGACTAAAATATTAAAGCTGTTTTGCCCTAGTATGTTCCAAAGGTCTTAACTTTCCCAAGATCTTCTGTGGACAAAAAATATATGCAGAAATGTTTAGAAGTGCTTTTCAAGGAGAGGAGCAAAGGGGGGGGGGAGGGATTTGTGTGGGGAGAAGGGTGCAACAATGAATGAACGGAATCCCAAAATCTCTGTAGATGTTCATTGAAATGAAAAATAAACAACCTAAATTAAAAAAAAAAAAAAAGAAGTTCTACTCTTTCTCCCACTGGCTTGCAGATTTACAAAGCACAGCAGTAGATTCAGAGTTCTGGAAAAGTGTGCAGTAAAAGAAGCCAATTTCTATAATTTACTCTAACTCAACCTGATCTATCTGAATCACAGAACTGTTTTTCTATTCGTGTCAGCTGAGGCAAACTTTAGAAGATACTGCAGTAGAGGGCTTAATAAAGAAAAAAAAGTAGGCAGGAAAAAGTAACCAAGCACAGATTCAGACTTATACTTGTTTCCAATTGTCCTTTGGTGCTTACATTTAGTTTATCTTTTTTATTTTAAGAAAATAAAGTTTTTTAAAACCAAAGACAATGCATGAGCAAATTGTCAAATTCTTTTGGCTCATCCTGTCTGTATCTTTTTGCTTCTGTCTCAACTCCATTCCCTTCTCCCAAGTTACCACTTGCCTCTAAGCCCCCAAGTTAGGAACTGCTCCCCAGTTGGGTCGTGCACATACAGTTGGAGGGCTGAGGATGATCATAATGTGCAGTTTCCCTTGGGTGCACAGCACACCCTTCACATTGCTAAAGCAGTGATTGGTTGACATCAGACACAGGGCCCACAGTAAAGATACGAGGGATTTCTGAGAAACACGGTAAGTCATTTGATACTAACAGTTTCTCTGCTTTTGCCTCAGACAGGAGTATTCTAAACACATCCTCAAGGGGAAGAAGGAGAAGACTGCCAACATATCCCTTCAAATCTCCAGCTTATGGGTGCTGTGATTTTTCTGTGTTTTCCATTTTCTTTTTCGACATACATGCTGTACATGTGTTTTATAAAACAGATGAAAGTCTTCAGTGGCGACTGCATTAGCTTACCCACTAAACAGAGCCGCCAACACGTTCAGGTAGAAGCTGTGACTGACAGTGCTATTATTACCTGCACGAATGAACACTTTCCCCTATCAAAGCCACTGTCTTCCAGTGGATTCCGAGCTATAGAGGGCAGAGCAGAACTATCTCCCTGTTGCCTAGGCTGTCTGTGCTTCTGTACAGACTTGGCTCGCCCCGTGACAGCTCCGTCCTGCAGAGCGCCTCCTGGGTTCGCCTCCTGGCTCGGAGCAGCCCATCACTATACCACCCTGGCTCCTACACCAGTTTTCCAGCGAACCTTCCTCCCCACCTCCCTTTACCAAACCAGTGATGAGGCAACGGGCACAGGGCCACCTTCTCCTTACCCACTCGAAAGATCAGATCGTCCTCGATGGGGTTCTCTTTTCGTTTCCCGGTGCTGTACATGCTGGCAGGCCTCTTGACAGCCTTCTGCTTCACATGGCCGCTCCCGGGGGACTTGACGCGCCTCTTGACACCCTCGGTGGTGGGGGACACGTCTGCCGAGCGGATCACCTTCAGTTTAAAGGGGCTGCCGCGGATGTGCTGGTCATAGAGCCTCAGCGAGAGCGTGAAGTCCCCTTCCTTCTGGACTGTGTACAAAAACTCATAGGTGCCGTTCTTGTTGTCCAGGATCTCGCCGTCGGCCACGCTGCCGTCGGGGGTGCTCAGCTCCGCCGTGAGGTAGGCGTTCCCGGTCTTGCACAGCTCCCCATCTTTGTCCTTGGTTGTTATGGTGACGGACATGGGCTGCCCGATGATGGTCTGCCGCAGCCCCTCGCCCGTGGCCACCGTCTCGGAGGCCACGGCGTTGGTGGTTAAAATGGTGCCGAGGTTGTGGATGGACTTCTTCAGGCCCTCAGTCTCCACGATGAAGTCCAGCTGGTCGTTCTCCCGGGGGTGCAGCGGGAAGTCCTGGTCGGCGAGCTCGTTCAGCTTCTCGCTCATCTGCTTCTTGACGAGCAGCACCTCGGTCTCCGTGCCATGGTTCAGGGCCTGCGCCGTGAAGTTGCTGCAGCTCTTAATGCTCTCCTGCCCCTCGAGCAGGGTGTCCAGCTGCGACTGAAGGACCTGCCGGAAAAACCGGGTGCCCGGTGAGCGCCGCTGGGTGTGGCAGCCCCGCGCCCTCCCCTGGGCACCAGCTGAGCCCTTTATCCACTGGAGCAGCAGAATGTTCTAGACCTGCCCATGGGGGTGGTGCTAGGTCTCTGGTATTTACCCTACTAATAGCTCAGTGAACCCCGTTCTAGAGCAAAACCCTACATGGCATTCCCAATATCTTTTTTTCTTCTCACCACGCCCTGTCTCTCCTACACACATATTTCTTGGGGCATTTGTTTCTCATAGGGCAAGCAGAACGCGTCACTACCCAGAGCGTGGGAAACTGATATGCCTGACATCTAAAATATTCATCATCCAGCACCTTTATTTCCAAACCTCCCCTAAATCTTACCACCTAAAGGAGCAGAAACTCACAAATAACAACTCTCCCCACCTGACGATCAGTACCTTTTTATCCCTGGTTTGGGGATTAAAGAAGCAAAGTTAAAGGCAGCAGTCAGGGTTCGCTCTGAAGCTGACTAACTGGTTGGTGTGGGTGAGGGTGCAATTAAAGCATTATTAGACATTATAATTAAGGAAGGAAAACAATCCAGTTTAACCCTGAATCCTGAAAGCATTGCTCTGTATTCAATGACATCTTTTGTCAAGTTAGACAATCACTCATTATAAATTGGTTGTAAGGTCATAGAAGATATTTCTTTAAAATTGTGACACTAGTGAACTCATTTAAATCCTCTTGGCTGTTATTAAACCCATCATACGATGCTGATTCTGACTCATGATGACCTTCCAAGGCAAACTCAAACGGCCCTCATATGATTCCTGTAAATATTTACAGAAGTACATTGCCACATTTTATTCCTGTGGAACAAGCTATCAACCTTTTGATGGGTTTGAACTGTCAACTTTCTGGTTAGCAACTCATTGCCTTAACAGTGCCACCAGAGTTCCTCCTGGTGTTCCTAGAATTCAGGAAGCTTGTGCCAAGCAGTGTAACTGGTATCACTACTCTGTTACAGAAACTCTCTAACGACTGGAGTCTTACTTTGTGTTTGAGGCCATAGTTGACTTCCAGTTCCATAAGCAGCACACTCTTCCGCACATTCAGTGTCTTCTGGAGCTCATCAAAAGTGGAATGGATGTCGTCCACAATGCTGGCCTTTTGGTTGGTTAGCTGATGAATGATTTCCGAGATGAACTGAAGGGCTGAATCTATTTCTGGGAGCCTGGGGGATAGTTGTTAAAAGATCATTTAACACCAACCCTGAAATATTCAATGATCTGTCTAAACATGGTTGTCTCAAAACATTTTTTATGTCTTTCATCATTGATTGAAAAATTGCAATAGAAGAACAGCATGAAAAAGACATAATTTACTGCTTTTGAAAGGAACTGAGAGTCCACATTTTTTCCAAGATATTTTTAATACTTAATGGTGAAAAGTTTTAAGATACTCTGAAAAGCCATGGTTTTTCTTCACACGCAAAGTCAGGATTTCATCCAAATTGGCAATTTGGATATTTTGGGCCATTAATTGAGGGGCAGGGTGGGTTCCTGTGCACTATTTAACCGGATGTTTAACAGACTTCTTACGGACACTAGATGCCAGAAGCATGTCTTCCCCATCCTTGTTCTTTGTCCCCAACATACAAACATAACAATCAACGTATCCTGACATTGCCAAGTGCCACTTCAGGGGCACAATCTCACATGGCTGAAAATGGCTGTTCTAAATGTGCAGTATCTTAATTTTCCCAATCACATGGAAAACTTACGGAAATTGAGAGTATCCAGGGAACTACTTCCAAGTTTCAAAGCTCTTTTATCTAGTATATAATAACAATACTTTTCTCACAATCAGCACAAAGATTTATTGGTTCTGCTTTTCAGTTAGGTATCTCCTCTTTGTTTTCTCTCCTATACTACACTGCCACACTGTTCTTCACTTCCATGCCACAGAGAGATCCCGGGAGCCGGAGATCACAAGGGGAACGGACCAATCCCCACTCTGTTCCACCTTTCCTGGCTCAATGGGAAGAAGCCTGTGTAACGTGCCTGTCGGTAGGTCAGGAACAGCAGCTCAGGAAGACTCCTCAGAGAGCCTGTCTTGAGGCAGGAGTTTCAGAGATCTTCTGAGAACATTTTCCTCATATGTACTTTACTCTTTTAATCTAAGTAAGGCACTAAAATAAAAAATCCACCACCCATAACTCAAGGAGGCTAGGAATCAAGGGGTAGTAGACAAGCTTCATCATTTTCCAGCTTATGATTACAGACCCATGAACAAAGCAGAAACTATTTATGACAGACTGACTGATCCCTTGAGAGGGAACATGAACCTGCCAGCCCACTAGAGAAGAGATTATAAGGCCATGCTTTACACATAAGGGGGCAACTAGGAACCTGGTGGATGTGAGCCGAGCTATAAGGCGTACTGCACCTTTTGTTGACAGCATCCAGCTGGACCTGGAGTGAGGCCTTGTGCTGCTCCACCACATCCTTGAGTGGAACTGTAGGGTGTTCTGCGTGCTCCCCCTCAGTGCACTCACGACACATGGCGGTCTCGCAAGACTGGCAGTAAAATTCCATCACCTGTGGGTAACAAGAAGAGAAAGCCACATTTGGTGCCACTGATTGGGTGCTTATTATGCACAGGTGCTTTCACTGAATCATCTCATTCGATTCTCAGCCTTCATCCCGGGATGCTGGCATCATGTCTGACGCGCTTTCACAAGAGTCAGTGAAGGATAAATTGTGAAGAACATATGATGTTGTGTGACAGGTCTCAAACAGAGGTGTCTGAAAACAAAGCTGCCATCACTGCTAGCTCTTCGGTTAACCAGATTGTAGTTCTCCACATTTATGCTTTCAGAATCCCAGAGAGCTTTGGAGCTTTCGTTTGTGTGGGTTACGCCTTTACTCTTTGCTGTTGAGTCAGAACTAACCCACACCTGACTGTCCAGTGGGTTTTCAGAGGCTGAGAATAGCACGGGAGGAGCTGGCCAACTTTTTCCCTCAGAGAGCTAGTGGATTTGAACTGCCTGCCTTAAAGTTGGCAGAGCAACTCTGTATCCAGTAGGCCACTATAGCTCCCTATGTGAGTTATATTTGTTGAATCTGAGGGGAAAATTTCTGTAGTTACATATTTAAAATAACAAATCTATTACATGTTAACATAAGTAATATTTTTAGGAAAAATATATTTTAAAAAGTAAAACACAACCCAAAAAGAATGGCCTAATTTCTTTCTTTTTTTTAAAAAAAACCCAACTTCTTTAGGATCTTATTTAGTAGAAAACAGCTGGACCCTCATAGCTGCTTCTGCAGTAACTGTCTCTATATGTTGTCTCTGGAAAATCCCAGTGTACACTCCAAAAGAGAATGAGTAAGAATGCAAAATAATATCATAATACTATTATGAAAATAGTTCAGACCTCCTGGGACCCATGTAAATCTTTTGGGGACGCACAGCAGTTCCACATTTGGAGAACTGTGGATGTATACAGAAGAAAGGAGCAGATAGCAGCTGTATGCATCCTAGCTCTCCTATTTCACTGACTTCTTAGGCAAATTCCTTTGCTTTTTTGCATCTCAAAAAATGGAGATGACAATAGTAATCCACTTTATATAGCTATCTTCAGGATTAAATAGGTTATTATTATACACGAAGAATTTAGATAGCACATAGTAAAATACAAGTAGTAGCTGCTATGATAACTAAAAGCTGTAAAAAAAACCCCTCCATATATGCTGATTATGCTGAACTCTGAGTAATAATAAGACAGAAAACCACAAAGTTCCTTTCCCTCCAGAGCAATCCTTTACTCTCTGGAAGTAACTTTTTAGTGGTTCTGCTTTTCAGTTAGGTATTTCCTCTTGTTCTCTCTCCTTAACTATATAGCCAAACTACCATTTGTTGAAGACACTATTTCCTTCCCATTGAATAGACTTGATCCCCTTTGTCAAATATCAATTAAACATAGGTGCACATATATATTTCTGCACTCTATGTCTTTGTGTGTCTCTTTTTACTCAGTACCTTCGTGTTGCAATTACTGTAGCTTTGTAGTGAGTTTTGAAATTGAAGGTACAAGGATCTAAATATAAGAACTCTTAATAGTAAACACAAGGGAAATATTCATCACCTGGCATTGTAGATTCTGATATGATACCAAAAGCGCAAACTACACTTTAAAAATAAATAAGACTTCATACTAAATTTAAAAAACAAACAAACAAAAACAACAACAAACTTCTGTGCCTCAAAGGCCATTTTCAAAAAAGTGGAAAGGAAACTGAGGAGAAAATATTTGCTAATCTTTTATCTTATAAGATATTAGGATTCTGAATCCTATAATACAACAATAAATATGACAACTCAGTTTAAAAATGGGTAGAAGATTATAGGGTTGCACAATCTGATGAATGAGTAGGGTGAAGGAAATGGGAAGGATCTTTTGTAAAAACAATGTATTCAAACTTTGTAAATAAATCAGAGTAATATTAAAAAAATTTTAAAATGGGTAGAAGATTTGAAGAAGCAATTTTCCAAAGAAGATATACAAATTACATGTATGAAAAGAAGTCAGAGCCATTCATCAATTCTTAGGGAAATGCAAGTCAAAACCACACGAGATACTATTTTACACACACTAGCATTGCTGTAATTTAAAAATAAAGTGGAAAATAACATGGGTAGGTAAGGATGTAGAAAAATTGGAACCCTTATCCATTGCTGGTGAGAATGCAAAATTGTTTTAGTCTATATGGAAATTTGTTTATGGATTCTTCAAAAAGTCAAACATAGATCATATATGATGCAGAAATTTTAATCCTAGGAATAGACCCAGGAAATAGAAAATACATGCCCACATAAAACCTTGTAAATGACAGTATTTATTTTAGCTGAAAAGTGGAAACCCAAGTGTCTATTACTAGATGAACTAATAAATGAAATGTGGTCTATTCATACAATGATGATTTAATAATAAAAAGGAATAAAGTACTGATATATATGGATGAACCTGGAAAACAGTATGCTGAGTGAAAGATGCCTGACGCAAAAGGCCCATATTGAATGATTCTGTTTATCAGAAATGTGCCAAATAGGTAAATCTGCAGAGACAATAAGCAGATTCGTTGTTGCTGGGGCTGAGCAGTTGAGGGAATGAACACGCGATTTCTCGTTGATGTGATGACAATGTTCTAGAATTAGGTCACAGAGAGGATCACACAGCATTAGGAAAGTACTAAAAGCCACTAAACAGTACATTTTTGAATTATTAAAATGGGGAATTCTACCTCAATTAAGAAAACCGGATGCAGCCTTGAAGAGAGAGCAGCAGATCTGGGTCACTGTCCCTGGGCCAGTGTCCTCAAGTGTGTCTTGGGAAGCGAAGGTCTTGAAATCATCTTGACGTGTCAAAAACTGGCCATTTTCAGATGCATGAGCATGGATGCTGACAGCTTTGGCTTCAGCCGAAGGCTAATTGTGAAAGATATATGGCTCAGCTGAGCTCGTCCATCTTGCATGAAATGATGCCGGTGCTCCCAGCTGGAGGGTGGGCCAGCAAGTGCTTATGTTGTTGATGGGTAGTCATCACTTGTGCTCATCATGGAGCAGAAGGCAGGACCATATGCATTACTGAGGTGTTGAAAAGGAGGGCTGGGCCCTTGCAGCCAACACTGTGGCTTTTGCAAAGGCACTGACAGTGATCATGGCCCAGGAAGTGGGGCCTTCTGAGGGGCAGCATGCTTAATGGGAATTGTTTTGCACCTGTGAACATCCTATTCCGGCAGGTGCCCTCTTTTGTGTTCCTGGGACCATGGAGCAAGCACAAATGCCTGCTTTATGTGCAAAGCACCCCTTAGATCACTGACTATTATCTTTATCTTTCTTTTGTGTTGGGACAATGCAGCAGTTTAATTAGAAGTCAGATGGTGCTACGGCACTTAGAGTAGATGACAGGGTTTCATCCACATGTGCTAATCAGCACCAGGCAGTTATAATGGCAGCATCCTGCTTTATTGTTAATGACCCGATTTTATTAACCTTCAGATGCTTGAATTGTTTTTAAAGATTTACCCATGGCAATTAACCACAGCAATTTATCTCTAATATTGCATGCATTTGGCCTGAATATGCAATGAGAAATCCCATTTCAAAGCAGCAGTTCACTAACTACTTGGTCTGTGATGAAATGACAGAGTGATTCAAGCCACACATTGCTAATTTTCCAAAGCCTCTTGCTGGTTTACGGATTTTACGATTCCAAAGAATTCTAATGACCCAACATAGAGAAAGTGTTCAAAGCATACTCTGATTAATAGCTCCATTTCCCTGGAAAAAAAAAAGTTATTTAAATGGTAAATTCTACCCCAATTAAAAAAAAACACCCCAAAACCAAAACAGATGCAGCTTTGAAGAGATAACAAATCTGGGTCACTGTCCCTGGATAATAATAGCCTGAGAGTGTCTTTAGCTAGATTTTAATTTTAATATTATTTGAAAAAATTTATTTAGTATAAGAATGAGAATGTTTATAACTAAAGGATTCCTTGTTTTTTATTAGAATTAGGATTGCTGATTGGAGCTCAAGAAAGAGATCTTTTGCACTTTCTATTTTCCCTTCAAGCAGTGACAACAAATTTCTCTTTCTGAAGTGTGTCTAAGATTGATAGTATTAAGAACAAGCCTCTCTATCACTAGACACCTGGGAGTCATCCTACACGCCCCTCTTCAGCCAATCTACCCAGTCAACACATTAAAAAACCCCCAAACCCATAAAAAGCCAAACAAACCCAGAGTCACTGAGTTGATTCCAATTTCAAAGGCTTTAAATCTTTATGGGCGAAGACTGCCCATGTTTCTTTTATGGAGTAGATGGTGGATTCAAATAGCTGATCTTTTTGGTGAGCATTTCAACATGCTTTGCACTATACCTCCAGAGCTCCATAATCAACTTATCAATAGCACCGACAGCCTGCCTGGTCTCTGGCTACATCAGCTCCTCTCAATCAGGCTCCTCGCTGGTTTTCCTACTTAAGGCTCAGCATCCTCATTTAATCTAACTGTCCGCATGCACATAAATTAGGACTCTCTGGACATTACAAATGGTTGTTGTTTGTCATTGAGTCAGACCGACCAGAGGTAGTAAATTGCATGGAAGGAGAATGCCCATCTTTCTCCCATGGAGCAGCTGGTAGATTCAAACTGTGAGCCTTCGGGATTGCAGTGCACCTTCTTATCACTAGGCCACTACTGGTGTTCAACTGTTAGATTCTAATTCAAGCGACACTGTAGAAGAAAAAACTCATTACTGTCAAGCTAGAATCGACTCACAATTGGCCCTCCTCCACTGGATTTCTGAGGCTATAAATTGCAGGGGAGGAGACTTAATTTTTCTCTCAAGGAGCTGCTGGTGGTTCTGTCCCACTAATGGCTAAAGAGGTTTGGCCTTTGGGTTAGCCAGACAACTTCCTGCAGACTAGACCATGAGAACTTCCTCTCAGAAGAAAGGCTTAGAGATAGACCTCTGAAAATCCACCACTGAAAAGCCAATGGAGAGCAGTTTTATTCTGGAACACATTGG